ACACACACACACACACACACACACACACACACACACACACACACACACACACACACACACACACACACACACACACACACGGACACGCACAGTAACACACACACGCCCACGCCCACGCACACGCACGCACGCACGCAAGCATAAATACGTTTATTGTGCGTAAATATTATGCAATGCAATAATATTTATACGTACACCAACAGAAGCGTCACGTAAGTAGAACCAGGTACTGAACGGGCGAATCAGATCTACGTCGCTTAGTTTCACTTCCGCATCTCCTGTAAATAATACAATAAGCAAGATATCCGGAGGTGAGTAATCATTGTAAAGCTAGGCCATGTAGGAAGTTCCTGTCCCGTTCTAAATATTAAATTACGGCGGAAGACACTTCCGATGTGAGAAGATATAGGAGCCTTGCGCACAGCGACGAGAGTAACATGTGAAAATACGAGACTAATTACGTTGCAATTAAACGAACACGGAGTAATTAAGCGAACACGGGTAATAGAACTTTGGGGGCACATAATAACGCTACAATCACGTGGTCGACGTTTTTAATGTTTTTCGAAGTTAACGGACCGAGTTTTCCAAGGAAATCATCAGGGAGGAATTTTATTATTATGTACATACTATGTTTCCTTACGTCCCGCAGGAATGTTTCACGCAGGTTTCGATCGGATGACTGGTGTGTATATTATATACGACTATTGTCGTATAAACATTGTCGCATCGACTGATGAAATAGTTCATTTCAGATAAAAATAATCAAAATTGTTTCTCATTAGACAACACTCAATATTAGTCATCCGCGTTTACTAATCGCTGTTCTTTGTAGGTTACTTGTGTGGTCGACTTACTGTAGATTATGTTCGGCGTCAGCCTGTCTTCACTCTTTGGCTTGCCCGGAAGTGAGTGGGAATATCTTTGTCAGCAATTTTGCAGAGAGACCGTCACTGTCTGCTTTATCGATCTGTGTCACACGTCTGAATATTGTGTGGAATGATATTTCTCACACCTTACACAGTTGTGATTGTCGACTACAATACTGTGCTTGCGTTTTCGCTCATTTTCACCGAATCAATGCTATGGTGCTTTACTTTGGAGACGATCACATATGTAGGGCCTAAGTACTAATTGAAAACGTACAGCAGCATCCAACAGCCAAACGCATTGCAAAGCCTCTTAAGTGCCGGTAAAGTCTGGTTCATTCGACGACGGGCTTCTAAAGACGCAACGATTTTTTTTCGGCAGGACAGGGTCATCTTCGCAAAGTTATCGAAATATCAGGCAAATTCCTCATAAAAAAGGTATTGTTGTGGTCGCCGCAATAGACGTCTGCACTATTGGCGCAAGGTCGCCTCGGTTGACGAACCAATAAGATTTTATATTGGCAAATGTCGGGGTTACAGCTTACAATATCTACAGTTGTTGCGTTGTTTATTCAATCTTCTACGTTCAGTGCCTATTATATTGCGTCTTACATGCATTCTGTTTCCATGTTATGTGCAATTAGTTTTGTTTTTGCAATTATTTAATTAATTGTATTTTAAAACGCATGATTGAACTGTGTGCAGTATTCCGCGGCATGTTCGCATGCACGTTCTATCGCATTATTTTTCATTAATGCGAAAGCGTATATTACGTTTGACGTCAGTTGGATTTATTCGCATCAACGATCACTTGTACTTTGTATCCACTCTGATTCAATTGAAATTACTTTGCATATCATTTCATTGTAGGTGCATTATATTACTCGTATATGCATTACCTTGCGTTTTATATGCGTTTTAATACGTTTGACATTTATTCTATTTAGGTTTACACGCGTATACTGCTCTGTTTGAAGCACATTCTATTGCGTTTGCGTAACATATTGCGTTTAGATATGCCTTCTATTGCAATGTTCACGTCCGTTGTAATAGCGCGTAACCAAAGGAGCTCTTGAGAGGAACCATCGAGTTCTTCATCTAAAGAAGATGAGAGATGAAAGGTTCTTTCAAATGCCCCCATATGATCGATTAATTTACCGCAGCTAGGAAAGGAGGGTACTACAACAAATATATATTAGGGGGTTTCTAGAATGATGCACGGCTTCTTTAAACGTTTCCTAAAATAGGGGCTCTCTCAAAGAAAGCATGCAAAGGATTTTTAATGAAATTATGGAATCCTGCCAAAATAACGAGAAGGTTTCTAGAAGGGATACTGATTCTTTGGAACTAATGAGTAGCTCTCTCTCTCTCTCTCTCTCTCTTCTCTCTCTCTCTCCCTCTCTCCTCTCTCTTCTCTATCTCTCTGCTCTCTCTCTCTCTCTCTAAATCTCTCTAAGGGTTCACGGAAATTCAGATAGAGGGGACGCACTGGACTCAATTATGTTCGTTATATCGTATCCGCATTTCGTTACCGATTCCATTGATAAACTAATGTCGCACACTGCGCTATTATCATGTTTCGGCTACAGTGTCCGTCGTCGTTTTAATTTACGATGCGGTACCGCGGGATGAAAGCAATTCGTTCGATAATGCGGCTTTAAATGTTTAATAACTGGGTATATATCGACGTTTCGTCCGCTCACCGGGCAAGAAAATAGTAACAGTAATAGCGCCGCTATACCTTGCATGGAACAGCTATATACTCGACAATCAATTTTGTCCTTAATATCCAATATAGGCTCTCAACTTGAACCATGTATCGCAGGCAGGCAGGACACGTAGACTAGTCCTGCAAACAGGTAAAGCGCGATTATAAGGCACAGGCGATATAGGCAGGACAAGGAAAGGAGGTCGGCATGCAGGTAGACGGTCAGTCAGTCAAGACGTCGTCAGATGTGCGTGCTGACGGCGGAAGATACGGACACAGGCAGGAAGTAGGCGTTTAAATAGCCTAGCCTAAATGCGGCAACCATATGGAAGTATGCATATACGTTTCTCTTTGTCCCCAATGTGTAGTATTGTGAACGAAATACTTCGTTTATCCAATATAATTGGCTGACGTAAGGGCGACACTAAGTGAACGTTTATCTATCTGATGGCCAAATTAATTATATATATATATATATAATATATATATAATATTATAAGTATATTGTCGCATATTACACATTCATATAATAGCATTGGGCTTCGGTGCCAATTATAACGTTAGTCGAATATCAAACTATAATGCCTAATGGTCGTGTGGAAAAGAAGAGAGGGAGAGAGGGAGAGAGAGGGAGCATACAAGTCGTTACACTGTGAAGATGAAAGACGAATGCAGTAGAAGCATAATTTCCCGATACCGCGTTAGATCACACGACAGTTTCCGCAAAAACTGTATCTGAGTGAGAGTGAGAATGAGAGAGAGAGAGAGAGAGAGAGAAAGGGAGAGTAGAGAGAAAAGGAGATAGAGAGAAGAGAGTGAGATGGCAGGGAGGGGGGGAGAGTGAGAAGAAGAGAGCCACAGTGAGAGAGAGCCAAGGTAAGGGATCGATAACGTTGTCTTAAACACGGCGACGGCACTAGAAGCTATCTAATAAACAAGCAAACCCGCGCGTCACTATGACAGACGAAACCTAATGATCTAGAGCCAGCTCCGAGTGTATATATAGAGCATTCGTAATGAGAACGTTTGCTGTCAATGTAGAGAGGCAACGTACCCAGTGATACAGAGCTAGTGGCGATTAAGATCAGAGAAGAAGGTGAATATGATACAGAGATAGCAGCGGATGTAGATGAAGCTCAGTGATATTAAATAGCTGCATGGAAAGATTATTCTTGTCAAAGTTGCGGGGATACGATTTATCGTACGAGCGCGTTGTGCCACCTATACGATACATTGCCGCTGCGTTCTTATGTGTTTACGTGTTCTGGGAGGTACTGGAACTTTTGTTTAATCAAGGTGCACGAGCGTCACGGCTCATGCCGCGTTCCCCGCTCGCGATTTTATTTCCTGAACCTTTCGGGCAGTAGGCCTACAGTGTACATTTGTACATCTTCTTCTTCTTGTTCTTCAGATATATCTACGAAGAAGTGACAGGGAAATAGACAGACCTGTAGACAGAGAGAGAGAGAGAGAGAGAGATGGAGGAAGTTATATAGAGGGAGGGGTAGAGAGATGAAGGGGAGGTAGGAAGGAAGGGATTTGATTCTTCATTTTCATTTCCACTTGGATTGTTTACATGTGTCATAACAAGCACTCCTGACCCCGACACAACCGCCGAGAGCAATCTTCTCTTGCGCACTGCTCAGGGTGGTTATTGCACGCCAGTCAGCACACGTTACTATAACGTTTTACGACGCACAAGTATTGCATATCCCGTGGATGCGACAGAACTATATAGTTCCGGGGGAGATAATAATAAATGTGGCAAAGCTATAGCTCAAGGATAGATAATAATAAATGTGGTAGAGCTATAGCTCAAGGATAATAATAATAAATGTGGTAGAGCTATAGCTCAAGGATAATAATAATAAATGTGGTAGAGCTATAGCTCAAGGATAGATAATAATAAATGTGGTAGAGCTATAGTTTAGAAATAGCTAATAATAAATGTTACCTAGCTATATAGCTCAAGGATAGCTAATAATAAATGTGGTAGAGCTATAGCTCAAGGATAATAATAATAAATGTGGTAGAGCTATAGCTCAAGGATAGCTAATAATAAATGTGGCATAGCTATATAGCTCAAGGATAGATAATAATAAATGTTACATAGCTAGCTTAGGAATAGGTAATAATAAATGTTACATAGCTATAGCTCAGGGATATATAATAATAAATATGGCAGAGCTATAGCTCAGGGATATATAATAATAAATATGGCAAGGCTATATATGTAGCTCAGGAATAGGTAATAATAAATGTTACAGAGCTATATTGGTGCGGGATAGATAACGATAAACGTGACAGAGTTAACTCAGTGATCGATACTAAATGCGACAGCACTACGAGTCTGAAATAAATAACATTATATAAGAGTGTTTGCGATAAATATATACTTAGGGGGATAGGCAATACTGAATATAATAACTGAGGGTAGACGACGCTGTATTTGCGATAGAACTATACAGCTGCGGGGCTAAATAGAAACTGTATGAGTGAGGCTGCACCTGCACGCCATTTAGGTCGTCGCTATAAAGAGCACATTGAGATGCTCTGAGAAACATTGATTAGCGAGGGAAGGGAGTCTCAAGTGCAGCATTAGCGACACATTTGCACTCTCGTGGATGCATCGGCGGATAATTGAATCACTCTAAGCGTTGCTTGCAAGCTGCCCGCCAACAAAAACGAGAGTTCGTCATGTCACCCGCATTAGGCCTAATAGCGGCACCGCCGACGAAAAACTAGCCGACCGCTTTCAACTCCTTTTCTTGTCTTTGTGCGCGGCGACAACCAGATTAATTAGGAACGTAATATGCTGCGCTTAGAAGCAAACTAATGCCTGCTACAAATTTGCCAAGCGAGATGGCAACTCACTAGCCCTAAACTGAATTTGCTATAACAAGTAAGGTAGACGACCGTGCCTGGCAACGGCGGTGATAGCACATATCGTAATCAGCTAACAGTTCGGCCGGTAGCTGCTCGAGGCATCAAACCTGAGGCAACTCATTACATTACCCATCTTCTGCTTCTGCCTCTATCGGGTCTAACTGATTGTGATCGTACAAACAACCGGCAACTAATTATTTGCGTGCGTAATACGCGAAAGCAATGATGCACGAGAGAAGAACAGTTATATAAGGAACAGGAAACAACATATACAGTAAGAAGTTGCTTCTAATTAGGCCTACCCATGCCTGCAAATCCCTCCGCCAAGCTTCACATATTGTGGTCTGGTCAGGAATAGGTTGGGTTTGACCACGAGAAGTGCAGATTTGCGACATATATATATATACTTTCACGCGTGATCACATACCTATAAGAACGTTGCGCTGGAATTTGTCATTTCCGTGGACAAATAACCTAACAGTCCTCAGGTCCAGCTGCTGGGGCTCGACAACGAAGTGAAACCGTTCCTTGAAAACCGGATTGTTGGTCTTCCTCTGAACCTGAATGATTCAATTCAACTACGTTACGAATTTGCTATGGTGTATATTTGTAAAAATTTTATTGCGATTTTTTTACATTAAAAATAAGTACTAACGGGACTAAATTTATCCTCAAATTCTTACCTGATAAAATTGTTTCGCAACTAGTTAAAAATCCAAAAAACCTAGGCGATTTTATATATTGATCACGACATTAAATGCTTTCTATGGGCTATGTATGTACGAGTGTTTGTTTACATCGAACGGAATAGCAAAATAGGAAGTTTAATGCAGTAATTTAACCATATAAAGTGAACTGAATCGCTAACATTTTGTGATTCTGTTCAATTATATTGTTAAATTGGTAAGTGGACATAATTTTTTTACTTTTACTACTTATGGTGACGTAATCGCTTTCAAAGGCCATATAGCCCACGTGTGTATGGTTGGGCACAAAACTCAAAATTAATCATTTTACCGCACTAAAGTTAATTTAATCTGGGATAAATTATAGCACTTTGTAGCCAATTGGGAGTCATTGTGCATATAATTCACCACTGCTTTAAAAATAATTAATTCTGCGTCGTTGGCCATCCATACATGCGTGTCCATGTATAGAAATAGATAGATATAGATAGATATAGATTCAATGACACGAACAATCAGAGAGCCATACCGTATACAGTTAGTGTCTATTTGTATCAACGTCCACAATTTTCATCATAATCTGAATACAGTAGTTTTAACGGCATTTAACGGTAGTATTTAACGGCAGCAGTCAATTTTGGCCGAAAAATTAAAAGCTTCGAGCTTCGATTCGTCGTTGACGAGTGACGGATTGAGTGCGGGATGTAAGTATTTCTGCTGTGATGTGTAAAGCGTCCAGGCTCACCTTAGTTTGGTGTTTTGCTTCCTTGTCAGGAAGTAGCATCACTTTGACGTAGCTATCAAACGAGCCAGCGTTGTCACTGAGCACCAGGTTCTTGCCTTGTATCACGCTTACCACCAGTTCAGACACTTCCCTGCCGACAAATATAAGAAAATGACAACCATGGTAAGATTGACTATATAAGCGTTTGTGCGTGTGTTGTGCACATGTGTGTTGTGTGTGCGTGCGCGTGCGCGTGTGTGCGTGCCCGCGTGCGTGCTTGTGTGCGTGTGCATGCGAGTGCATGCATGAGTGCCGGTGTGTGTTGCTCCTATCCAGAGCAGCTTCAATGCGCACCCGAGAACGTCTCTTGTTCTTGCCATGTGTTCTCCATTCTCTATGCATGGATCGCTTACCCTATCGTTTTCACATCAATCAGGGGCAAGACAAATCTTCACATTGTCCCGTTTTATGTGTACACACCTAAATGCGTTTACACGCAGCGCGTTTTTAGACAACGCGGAGTAGCCTAACATGTTTTCCGTTTTACGTGACGGTGAAAAAACCTTGGTCGTATACAGTTACCGAGTTCGACCGTCAAAAGCGAAGCAAAAACCGAAAAAAATCGTTAAAAACGACTTTTCGTTTGCGCGCGCGAGGCGGTAACACAGCGCGATGTAGCAAATGTTTGCATGCATCTCGTCGGGCGAGTTCCGTATTTGCGTTGTGTAGTAGTTACGCTGCATGCACGTTCAATAAGTGCAGTCGGGCGAGGGCGACTTCCGTCAGACGCGAACATGCATGCATCCATCGACAAAACAGCTCGCGCGCGCCGAGAATACCAGCGAATGAATTAGCGTACGGTAGCAGTGGGTAGAGAAATACGACTGAGGGATGCTCGCTAATTCACGAGTAATTAGGTGCGCGAAAGCACAGCGTAGAAAAACGGACACGTCTGTAGCGGCAAAGTCACATTTTAGACAGCCTGCGGAAGATCTGAAGGAGCGTGTTAGATTGACGGGAATTTGAAACGGTGGTGATGTCGGCGAAACGTTTGTGGTAGCGGCGGGTGGTCTATGCATCATCAGCAGCAACAGTAAGCGTGGCTGTGACAATATGGGAGTAGAGCGAGTATCGGCTGGCAGCAGAAGCAATGGCTGTAGCTAGCGTGATTATATTTATATTCGCATAATTCACATAAATATTCAATTATATATTCAGTATTATTTTATACATGAAGGCGAATGGGATAATAAATCAAATTTTCATACGCAGTTTCCCCGAATTGTATTAGAAGTGCACGTGTAAGAAAATTGAGACTATAATTTGTCGCCGTTCTAAAAAATGATACCATCTTTAGCTGTTTTTCTCGAGGTATCTTAGAGATGATGAATTAGATGATGAACTAGCATGATAAATTAATCAAGAATTATTTATTAAATAATTCGCGTAATTGCGATATTTCATCACATCATAAGATTCTATTGTGCCATAATTTAGCATTATATATATATATATATATATATAGTGTTTGTATAAATCGTGTTAACATAAATACCAATTATTTTAATCAGTTGCTTTGAGCGAATATTAGGGGAAAATGCAATTCATGATTGCATTATTTTCATTTTTCTTCTACAGTATTTCTTGCCGGAGTAAATAATCATCAGAGCTATGACACTACTAAAAGCAATTTACAAAATAGTTGCCTATATTTTACTCTTTACGACTTATTTTTCATATAATAATGATTGACATTAAAATTTTACTGCCCCGCGGTTTGCACAGCAAATCTTTTTAATTGCCGTATTTAGTAGTCCATGCATGTGGGCACTGGCTGTCACACATGGTTTTGACTAGTCCTGTCGCGTTACATGAAATTTCGGCTATCATCCGAGTAGACAGCCAGGAAAACACAGTGTGGTGTAGAGACGCTAACGCGCGCAATGTAACCTTGCTATTTTAATTTATTTTAATCTATTTTAATTATGCTAATTACGCACAATTGCTGTACGTATAACTAAGTACTATCAAGAGTAGATAATAACACAGTGTGTATTAACACGGTAGTGTTATTATCTACTCTTGGTACTATTTAAGCGACTGCAGTGCGTATGAAACTATTTCCCATGTTGTAAACTAGAAGAAAGATGCGACCATAAGCAGTACCCATGGCGACCCAAGTACCAGGCATGTCTGGAGTGCTGGGTCGCGCAATGCATACACGCAAAGGTGGGTTACGACATGTGTACCAAACTCGTTTACCTCGTTTCCACTGTTGACTGAATGACTGATGCGTTACGCGTCCCACAGAGACTGGTGTATACCTAGTGTTATGTTCTCAGTTGTAACAATACATGCACGGGTAAAGCATGATGGTAACGGTACATACAGGTAAATTATGATGGTAACGGCACACACAGGTAAAGCATGACAGTAACGGTACACACAGGTAAAGCATGATAGTAACGGTACACACAGGTAAAGCATGACAGTAACGGTACACACAGGTAAAGCATGATGGTAACGGTACACACAGGTAAAGTATGATGGTAACCACAGGCACTTGGAACGTTTCCAAAATAAAATGATAGTAAATAAACACGAAATGTATTTACTACCAGAGGCACTTGGAACGTCTCAATAAAAAACATTAATGGTAAATAAATACGAAATGTACCAAAGTCTTAATGTTTCTCTACTCTATTTCGCCTATAATTAGCTGTAAATGCCGGTCAAATGCTCACCTGCAACACACAAGTACACCGCACGCCCACCCTGCGGCGCACAAACAAAATGAATAAGAGAGTGTTTTCTCTTATTCATGTTGTTTGTGCGCCACAGGGCGGGCGTGCGGTGTACTTGTGCATCGTGTGGTGCAGATGAGCATTCGACCGGCATTTACAGGTGATTATAGGCGAAATAGTGTAGAGAAACATTAAGACTTTGGTACATTTCGTGTTTATTTACCATTATTTGTTTTTATTGAGTCGTTCCAAGTGCCTGTGTTTACTGCAAACGACTTAATGTTTCTCTAATCTCTTTCGCTTATTATTGCTAATTACTTTCTGTAAATGCCGTGCAAATGCTCTTCTGCAACACTCAATTTAGCCGCACGAACGCCGCTTTGCACAGAAAACAAAAATGTATACCTTTATTTTAAAAGACTTTAGTAGTAAATACATTTCGTGTATTCGATCGTGTGTGCGCTTGGGACGGTAACCGCACACACAGGTAAATGCGGTACGTGCACACAGGTCAAGCGCCATGGTAACGGTACACACAAGTAAAGCGCCCTGGTAGCGTTATGCACAGGTAAAGTATGTGCAAGTATGTGCAAGGTTCACGGTTGGACTGTTCATGATCAGCTGTGCTCTGTAACACGACAGCGGATAGTCGCCATTTTATGACTTTTCATATGCCTGTGACATATAACGGCAGAAGCTAGTTGATCCGGTTACTATAGTAAACAGGCCGCCAATCCCACCACACAAGCAAGACTCAGTAAAATTCAACCGCGTTTATCATATACAATGATACCCAACTAATTCATAACTATAGTAACAGATAACACAAAACAAATATGTCAGTCATTTACCTGCCACAAATCTGCACTTACGATTGAGCGGAAGATAAATATGTAATGATGTAGATATCGAATTAATTAACCTAGTATAAAACCTAGTGACACGGGTCGCTTAACGTTAGCATAACGTCATTGTTATTTTAGTCAAAATAGTTCAAGGTAACATGAGCCGAGGGCAGCGAGCGACACGGGTCGCACACCTATATAACGTCATAGGTTATTTTAGTCCACAAATATCAGTCAAGGTGACAAGTAAAAGTTGCACCACGAATATCCCAAGAAACAGAGTGACACTTTAGCACCTACACAAGGCCGAGAGAAAACACGTCACAGCTTGATGTCGCGTGCCGACTCATCGAAGAACAAACAACGAATGCCGCCGGCATATGTGAACTATGGGAACTAAGATAACATGAATCGACCTGTCGCGATTCCCACACCACACTCGACTTCGAGAAGCATCTACCATTGTCAAGCCGAGCACGCCGCGTGCACGTGGCATCAGCGCGTGGTACAAGGCGGCACGATGACATGTTAGTACCAATAGAAGGCTGCTCGAACGAGGGCTTCGAGAAACTTCTATCGAAGCCTCCACCATATCTGCAAGGACTCCAGCTGCCGTTCTCACGCTAGAGAAGGAAATCTCACCTTCAGTTGTCCATAAAATCCAGAGGACACAGGATTGCACATCGCACGCAACTAGGCCTTGACCACACTTGGGTACTGACGTTACGATGAAACCGCCAAAAGAAAGACGATTCCTATTCCATTTTCCATAGATTAGATTGTAATCAATACAACCAACTACCCATTGAATTGCTAACCAAGATCGTCATTTTAAACACAATATAATATCTATAATATAATACAATGTAATGGCCTATATAGTTACATTTTACATTTATAGCTGCAGCATGGTAAGTCGTTGCCTAGTTGTCACCATGACAACGAGATTCATCTTCCATGATATTGACGGTATCTGCGCACCGACGGCACATGCGCATGACGCAGCGCATAAAGTCAGGACAATTATGTTGTTCCTAATTGCACACCTATCCCACGGATCAAATAAGGGGCCGGTCTAGCTGCTGACTTTCAGATATATAACTTGTCTGGCTCTCCTTTAGATATACATTTTACATAGCATTAAAACATGTACTAATTTATGGGAATCTGATAACATGAGATCACACTAGGCGACCTTCGTGCGGGTACACATGCGCGTGTGCGTGCGTGTGCGTGCGTGCGTGTTCGCGTGCGTGTGTGAGTGTGTGTGTGTGCGCGCGCGCATGTGTGTGGGACAACAAGCAACCTTGTTGAGTGATCTACGTGCTTTGTCGACTATCCTAGGGCGGGCACCGATCGCAGTTGTAAAAACACAAGTGAGCGTTAATACGCTCGCGAATTTCGTACCGGTATCGCCCGATGTCTCACCCAACCTTTTTCGTGTCCGATGCTAACGAATTCTAGCCGAATTTATCCGCTATTCGTACACGACGAATCCATAGGGTTTACCACAAATCGTTAATCAATCTAGCTCGAACGCAAACGAGGTTGCAGGTATGTGCGTATGCCGTGCGGGGCGTGTGGAACAATGCCTGGCACTATCGGAAAGTCAAGATGAATGTGAGAATGTTGTGTGTGTGTGTGTGTGTGTGTGTGTGTGTGTGTGTGTGTGTGTGTGTGTGTGTGTGTGTGTGTGGTTTGCTGTGTCATGTGTTGTGTTGTGTGTGTCGTGTATGTGTAGTGTGTGTGCTGGTGTTTGTGTGTAATGTGATTTATGTGTGTGTGTGTTATGCATGGTGTGTGGGTGTGTGTGTGTGTGGGTGTGTGTGGTGTGTGTGTGTGTGCTTGTGATGTTGTGTGTGGCGCTGTGCGTGCGTGCCTGCGTGTGTGTGTAACACGTGCATTAGCTGCGACCAGGATTATTTCGCGCGCCAATTTCTTTGCGCTGCATGACATTTAAGCGGGGCGAGGCGCTGATTTATTTACCTGTCGTACTCGAAGCCGCACTCGAGGATTCCGCACGTGGCGGCTGCCTGCATGCAATGATCGTGCCTCCTTCCGAACACGACGACTCGGAGTTGACGCTGTCGCACGAGATGGCGCGAGACAGACGCGTGCTGCTCATCTCCTGCAGGCCGTCAGACGATATATCAGCTGTAAAAATGTTTTATTATCAGCATACACACACAGACAGATTACACATGCACACACCTAGACATCACACAACAAGACAACACACACAACACACACTACACACACACACACACAACACACCACACGCACACACATACACACAACACACGACACACAGCACCACACTACACACATCAACACACGCACCGCACCGCCACAACCACCCACACGCTGCCTACTCAATCACACACTACTCACAGCACATTCCACACACACCCACGCACGCACGGTGCACTGCACGCACACCACACAATCACACACATGAGCACACTACAGAACACACAATGACACACATCACACACACATCTGACACACACACACACCAACTACGACACACACACCACACCACACAACCACACACACACACAAATACATCAACACAACGCACGCACCCACGCTACCGCCACAGCACGGCGTCTTTTTTTGCTACACTCTCTCTCTCTACATAGCGGCACATAGACGTACATGCGAGTCCTCTCGACCGGGAACTTTTCTGCCTGCTTGCTAATGCGCGTAGTCAGGCGCCCGCTCGCAGGCTCATGCTTCCACGGCAGCATCAGCCGTCACCAACCCCTCTTCAGCATCGGCGCCTTGTCTGGACTGCGGCGTCGCCACGATCTGTATGTCGCCGAGCTGGCTGGTACGACGCGTTTCTGTTCGCGGGCACCTGACTCATAGGATGGCGGGGGGGCGTAAGGCTTCAGATCGGTCAGTCGTCCTTCGTTACCTCGTATGTATAGGTGACATCTCGACGTGTACACGCGGCACCGCCAGTGGGTTTACGCGCATAATCCATAATAGAATAATAGCGTAATTAAAGAAAACATTTTAAAGATAAAAATAGATAATTAAAAAAGATTAAAGATAAAAAGCATGATTAATCAGGAAATTTAGATTACAAGACGTCCTTCTTGTCTATTGATGGACTCTGGTAATTAGGCGAAACGTCGGCAGTTTGGCGCGCGTGTGCCACAGAGGTTGATAGGGAACCCTGTTTTGCAAGTGTAATAGTCGCTATTCTGGTGGCGGTCAGTGCGCTCGGTGGTCCGCGGTCTCGCAGTAGGTTGCAGAACATACACTCAGAACATACGATTAATATATTACAGATGAAACAAGAGAATATACGCCTATAATTGATGCGGCGTGTAGCTACTAGAACGCTATCTAGCTGGCTGTGCAATGTATAAGGTTCGGGGGGGGGGGTTACTTCACGCTGCATCAGAATTGGTGTGAATGCATTTATAAATTGTTGCTATATGGTTGGCGACCGACGCAGCTGAGATTGAACATGATAAGCAGCACAGAGCTGAGTGAGTGATGAGATAGCAGAACAGACACGACACAGAGAGAGAGAGGTTAGAGAAAGACAGAGTAAGTTAGTATAAAGAAGAGAGAATGAGAATAGAGGGAGAGAGATCAGAGAGTAGAGAGAGAGAGAAGATGAGAGAGAAGAGATGAATATAGAGAGAAGAGAGAGAGAAGAGGGAGAGAGAGGGAATCGAGAGAGAGAGAGAGAGAGATGAGAGAGATGAGAGAGAGAGAGAGAGAGAAAGAGACGAGGACGAGGCGAGAGACAAAGAAGAGAAGAAAGAGAAGAGAAATAGAGAGAGAAGAAGCGAGAGATGAGAGAGGAGAAGAGAGAGAGAGAGAGAGAGGAGAGAGTAAAGAGAGAGCGCGCCGTTTCAGTTGGTTGACTCTCGCATAAGGGTTTAATCGCGTGAAGCCATTTTATTCTCACAATGGCCCCGGTTCGATTGGTTTGGGGACGCCATTAACTGCGACGTCGTATTGTGTACGTTGAAGTGAGTGCACTGGCGCTGTGAGACCGCAGCCTGGCTCTATATACGGGCGCCGTCGGGACCGCGAACAGTGCTGAAGCGCGCCATGCAGCCGATGCAGGGAAACAGATCGCCGAGCGTATGGCAAAGGCTCCTGCCAGGCTTCCACGAATATGCGTGAAACATCGAGTACAGGCATCATTGGAAACGCTCTCAAGTAATAATAAGGCAAATAAAACACGACATGTAATATACTACAAAATGTCTTAATGCTTTCTCTACTCTCCTTTCGCTTAAGTATGCCGATGAACCTTGCTAGTAAAATGACCGTTCAAATGCTTTCGCTTCCTACAACACGTAGTACATCGCAGCGCACCCCGCTGTGCGGAAACAACGAAGATACTAGAGACACTGCGGAATGAGCACAGACTCCGCCAAGGCAGCTCGCATTCTCTCAATGTGATTTGTTATTAATTAATTAACTTAATTAAGTGGAACAATATAATTTAATTAATTAATTAAATTAATTAATTGGATCGCGGATTGAGCTGCGAGCGTGGCAGGGTGGGGGAGGACTGAGTGGTTGCCGCTTGCCCGCTGGTTGCGTGTTTGTAAGTCTTCAGCCAGCGCACCTAGCGGAAGTGAACTGAAACGTACATGGTAACACACAGAAACAAACCAACACTCAAAAACTCGCCGGTGAAAACATAACCCCCGCCATGCCCCTGGCGGAGGTAATAATAGAGAATAATAGAGAGAATAGAGAACTCTATTATTATTCTTGTTTGTGCACAGGGCGTGCGGGCGGTGTACTTGTGTGTTGTAGAGGAGCATTTGAACGGCATTTACAGCAAGTTATCGGCAATAATAGGCGAAGGAAAGTAGAAAAACATTAAGACTTTGGTAGTAAATACATTTCGTGTTTATTTGCCTTTTTTATTAAGACGTTCAAAGTGCCTGTGAACATCAGTATTTCCGGGATATTTCACAGGGCGCGTAGGTGCCGGCAGCGAGAGGCAGATTCATTTGTTAGTGGAGCAGGTGGCGTTTTAACGTGCGGCACGCGCCAAGAATGTGTTCGGATCTCTAGCGGTAATTATGTGGACGTCGCCGCTAGCGACGTCGTTGCTGATGCACGTAGTAATCACCGCAACATCTTGAGTGGCTTCAGTCGCGAACCCTAATTGTTTGTCTAATGCCTGGATCTTATCTACCCCGGTTTAGCGTAATATCTTGGCCGCGACTACGTCGCACGCGCGTGACCTCGTGGCGAGCGTCTGCAAGATGCTGCGGCGATTGCTCCGTAGGCCCTGATTGGTATTCATAGACGGTAGTAGCTATATGTATATATATATATATGACTTCTCGTCTGTTAATTCCAAAACTACTTACTTGCAGTAAGTCAGGAACTGCGAATGCTCCTTTCTTGACGACTGATATTCACAGATGAGAGTACACGGCCTTAAACGTGTGTACGCGTAAACCACGTGCAGTAGCCAGCCCGCACACGTACACCCGTTACCATTGCATCCCTCACATAATATGTGCGGTATATAGAATGCAACACTTGTTATCACTTGGGGTCTAGATCAATAGGCGTATAGTAACCAGGTTCCTGCTCGCTGTAATAATAATCCTTTGCCCTTTAGTCGGATAAAGGACGATCACGCGTATATGTAATAGAAGGGAGTAATTTCGGGAACCTGTACGAGATGAGGACATGCATTAAACATCCGTATCACGAAGACGGCGTCTTGCCACGTCGTCCGTCATTCGTATGAACGATACGGGATGAACTTCAAAGCTCATAAATCACGGGACATTGATAATTATCGATGGCTCGGCCTGTAGAGAACTGTAAAACATGCCGCACGGGGTTGATGACGGTATGATTCGGTTTTCGCGCGGGTCTTATAGCTAACGAATATCGATGTCAAGATGTCTATCTATGTACAGTTGTTAGGCTTACTCCTTCTTACCCCGTTCCGAAGGCACTGGTGAGTTTGACTTGGTAAATAGAGAAGGCACAGAGGAATTGGCGTATATATATATATATATATATATATATTTATATATCAAGATATATATATATATATATATATATAT